TATATATATATATCAATCTTTGATCAATTTGTAAACAATTTTGCAATTAAAAAAATCCAATTAAGTAATACAAGAAGACCAACTAAAATGTAATTGTAGTGCAAAAACACTTTATTTGGAAACACTTATACTGGGAAAAAAAAACAAACAGTGAAACTCAATGAAGAGTCAAGTGTGCCCTCATACCAAGGCTTTTTAATGTACAAAAAAAGAAAAAAAAAAAAAGAACAAAATCTGCAGAAATTCACAACTGTTTTCTCCAAGCAGAAGATTAAAAAAATCCTGTACAAACAACTGGGTGTTAAGAAGCAAACAAAGGGTCTGATGATCATCTTCTTGGTCCACCTCGTCCTCGTCCCCTTCCTCTCCCACGTCCTCTTCCTCTGCCTCGTCCCCGTCCAGCCACTGAGARGACAGATAAACATTAATATAACAAGGTTTCATTTTGTCTTTGACATGAATAAATCCAGTTCAACACTTTATTTGGYCTCTGCAAAACCATTTATGGAGAGTTTCTACGCTCTTCTTAAGTCATGAATTATCCTAAATAAATAAATCTCATTAAGCTCAACAGGACAGGAAGAAACATGAACTGGTTCTTAAGTGAGGTTAAAAATGTGCATTTTGAATTATTTTCTATTATTTTGCAGCTTATTCCATCTAAAAATAAACTGATTATAAAAATCAACCACAGCAACATGTTTATAATAGTACTAGGGATTATAATTCMGATGAAATGATCCATTTTCTGGACAAATATACAATTTATATTATGTGTCAAATGTTATAAAACACAGCTGCAGASCTTGAGGTGTGTCATGGGTCACTTCAAACAAACATGCACTTATACCAACTAACTTATTCACAAAATAAATAAATATATATGTGTGTGTAAGAAAAATAATTGAACTCAGGTWATACTGAAAAAATTCGGAGCAAATCAGCATGAAAACAAAATATGATTTCAGTTTGATACAAGCGTCTAAATAAATCCATTTCTTACCTGCTTCCCTCTTCTTAGACTTGATCTTTGGCTCGATGTCGACCAGCAACGTGTCCAGAGGCAGGCTGTCCGGCAGGATGAAGTAGCGGATGTTGTTGCCACGGATACTCAGTGACTCCAGCTGAGTGGGCTCCCTGTTTTTCAGGGTCATTTTCACCGCCTTCAGGTGGGTGTTCATGCTCACATCAACACCTGCAAGATGGAAACAAAAAAGCTTGACATGAACAGTCTTCACCAGTGTTCCCACTCTGCATTTTAACATTATGGGATAAATCTTGTGCCAGCAGGAACTGAATTTGAATTCCTCAGATTGAATCTGAATGTGCATAATTTGAAATTGAAAGCATTGGTTTGAAAATAAATTTTACTAAACTGAAACTGTATCTGAATTTATTTGCTTTGAAACTGTATTTTGGTTTATTAAAAATTCAGTTCGACTACTTTCACTTTCAGTTCCATAATTCAGATTTTTGTGTCACATCCTGGTCCTTGAGAAAGCCAGCCAGAGTAATCAAACACAGATCCACAGATTTACGTTTCACTTCAGTGAAACGCCCCTTCTGTATGTAACAGTTAATGCAATCACTGTAAAAGTGACAAAAACAGTTATTTTATTGCAGTTACATTTACATCACATCATGGATCACGTATTGATCAGATGCTGCTGCTGACTGATCCATGACGGGATGTAAATGTAACATTTCCTACATATAGGTMAAATTAATCACTGCATAGGGTTTTGATTTAAACGTGCAAATTTTGCAAAAATTGCATTATGTCAAAACATAATGAATTAATGCCTTATATCATTTGAATAAACTGTCTAAAATATAATCCTAATTTTTTTGAAGCATTATTCTGAGCAGTAGCAACAAAAAAAATGATTTTGAGGAAAAACGCCATAAAATTAAAAATTTTCCCTGTGAGCTAGCAATGTTTTAGTTTCTTTCCAACTGGGCAATCTTAATATACAAATAATATTTGATGTTTCCTTTTTATTTTAACATCAAAATTTACTCAATAAATTTACATAAAATTAGGATTCAGACCGAACAGTAATGTGTTATCGTAATCAACAAGACAAATTAAGTCATATCTCTGGATATGATGTCAGAATGATCCAGGTATCAAAATGTAGCTTTTAAAGCAGGAACCTGAAAATGTAGTTAGGTAATTTTGACTTAATCCTCATTTTGATATGATGGGCCACATATATCATTTACAACATTAGTCTGTAATAATATTTGTAGTATTTCAGAATTACCACACTATAAAACGCTATATACTATAAACAATAATGTTATAATGGACAGTAAGCAATTTGTCTTTTCTAGTTGTGCAAACAAAAATAAATATTCAGACATTAGATCTTAAAACTAGCTCCATCCATCCATTTTCTGTACACGCTTATTCCTTTAAAGTGTATCTTACCCCCCTGTGAAAAGATAACAGCTGCGGACATGAAAGCTCCTGCTGCGAAGCAGGAGGAAAGGATAGAGGAAAAAGTAACTTGTTTCTAGCGGCAGAACAGGTTGGAAGATGGCTGTTTGATGTTATTTATTGTTATTTAAATCATCCTACAGGCTCTGACATGTTAGATAAATTTGAAAATGAGGTTTTTTAAATATCCGTAAGACTTGAAAAAATCCGTGAGATTGCTCTATACGTCCGTATACCTGCACAATGACGTGAAATCTTTATAACTTACAGACAATCTGTACAAGTTGACACGTGTGGGTTCGGGCTGAAGCTGCCCAG